TAAGCAGGTTGTAGTCTCTTATAGAAGCAGACACTCAGTAACACCAGCAGAGCATTGACTATGGGCATAGCCCCTTTCTCATCTCAATCCTATCCCTTCCCTTAATAAAAAACACTCATCTTTACCACACCTATCTTCTGTACTAGGGATTAGCAGTGAAAAAGTATTCCCAAGAGACCACAATGAACATTCCAGTATGATTTCCCACAAATGAGTGAGCTTGCGTTTCAAAAACAGTTAAAATACATTTACTTTGCCTGATATTTCTTTTACACTCTTTTTCATTTTGATTCTGGCCTCAAGAATAGAAGATACAACTCTTAGAAATTCTTTTCACCAATTTTTAAATTTTGGGTTTTATTTCTTGCTCCAAAGATAAACACAAATGTTACCCTTATTTATTCAGTGCACCATTAAAATTGTTTTACTTCCAATTATGCCTTTATTTTCAAAATCCTTGGCTCTCATAGACAAACTATGTCAAAGTATCCCATCAACAAACATGACTCCAGCCAAATGGGAATAACTTTATAGATATAAACAGGACTTCCATAGTATCTATATGAATGCACAGTACATATATTTTTCTAAAATCTTTTAGGTTATACTATATCTCACAGATACAAGCTGAGACAAATGGATAGTAAAATTTGGGAGGAGAAAAATGAACTAAAATGCCTACTGAAATCTAGGTCCCAAAAGACCAGCACTGGCACTACCAGAAGGTTCCTTGGAAATGACTACATGAATCCCAGACTACAGTCAGATCTCCTGGTTACTTATGTGCACACTCAAGTCATGAAACACTGGGAAATCAATTCTGTCAGTGCAAACTCAAATCAGCCTTGAACTTGGGACTACGCAACTTACAAATAACAGCAAGCTCAGAAGGCATATGGCTTACTCAAAGTCTAAAAGCTATTGAGACTCTGAAAAGGGATTCAAATTCAAGCATACTACATCTTCTTTTAAAAACACTGCCCTATCACTGGAAAGGCAAAAACAGGAAGATTGCCAGGAGTTCCAGGCCAGCTTGAGCTACATAATGAGGCTTTATCTCAAAACAAACAAACATCTCTCTCTCTCTCTCTCTCTCTCTCTCTCTCTCTCTCTCTCTGGCAAAAGAAAGAGAAAGAAAAATGAAAAGGGAAGTACCACAAAGATACAACTTTCTCTTAGGAAAATTAACATTATCTAAAAAGAACTTGTAACAAGCCAGTATCTAATTTCAAATTTTCTACTAGTTACACTAAAGCCGATAAAAAGAAGCAAGTTAATTTTAAAAACTTATTTTATATAACTCAATATATCTACAGTCTCACCATTTGATTATGTATTCACTATAAAATCATTAATGGGACACTGCATTTGCATGTGAACCCTCTGAAGTCCACACAGACTTTACATTCAGCACAACTCAGAGCTGCCGAGCACTAAGGATCTTCAGAGTCTTTCCCATCCTCACCAAATTAACCTACAATGCCATATGTATTCACACATCTCCCTTAAAAGATGAAGCTGACAAACTGTTAAAATAATCAAAGAACAGAAAGAATGAACTCTATGTAATAGCTTACTTTGCTGAACACAGATTTAAAAACAACAATAACAACAACAACAAAAAAACTGCATATATTCTGTTGTGATCAAAGTTGACAGGTTTGGATGACGTTGCCAAACTGACCCATTAACTACCATCTTGCAAATGACAATGTCAAAGGTAAAAAACAGGGCACACATGAAACACTCATAAGAGGCATATAAAGACAGCAGAAAACAATTTTTCACATTATTTCAAACAAGACTTTTTAAAGTTAGAGAGGTGTTTTTGTTTTAATCTAGGGGATTTTTAAAGGGGGAGAACGGGTGATTTCAAACTATGTGCTAGAAATAATTTAGCAAACATACATGATTCAAATATACAATTCCTCCTACAATAATTTTTAAATTATACACCAAACTCAACACAAATTAAGAAAGTAACATGAAAACAAGGTTATTTGGTCCTTAGCAATTGTGGAGTAAAAAGTAGTAGACTGTATTTATAAAGAGGATTACAGATTAGTAATGAACTTAGATCTTTATCAATTAACCCAGTTAATTTTTAAAAACTTTAAAAATAAAGCCACATTTTATTACTTAAAAAGTGTAACTACTAAAGAAATTCAAACTGCAATTACTTGGATACACTGTTAATTCCTGATGTAAAGATTTAGGATTAATAGCAATTCCATTTATCAAGTCATTTACACTTTTTAAAAGTCCACTGTCCCTAGATAACCGACTTGAATAAAATATTGACCTTTAAAAAATAAAAGAAAAACAAGAATATATAAAACATAATTAAAAACATAAATATCAAATTATATATGCTTGAACACTTTCTGTTTTCCCTATTTAAAGAATTAAAGAAACAGTTTACTCTTTATTCAAAATACACAAAACAGGATATATTGTATAAAAAAGGTGTCAATGATGGGGTACTACTTCAAACCTCCCTCTGTATACAAGTTTACCTACATGTGTATCTATTATAAACACAGGAAAAGAGAGCAGAGGTCAGGTGGGATTTAACACACACATCTTGAAATTTCTTAAAAAAGATTCCCAAATTCACAGGCATGTAACTTTTGTACTTCATCACATCAGCTTTCAAAAAAAGGGCTAAGTCGAATTGGAAACAAGTGTTCTGTCAAAACTCAATTTCAGTTAAATGTAAACAATATCATCCTATGACTACCGACTGCCTTCACAGTCTTCATATTTAGGTGTAAATCTTCAAATTTCTTCCCTTCGAAGTGGGTTTTGCATTTACTTCAATAACTCAGGAAATATGAATGTCAACAGACACTTTAATCTCATCAATCAGGTTTCATGGCCAGCAACCATTATGTAAATAACAAAGTCCTCTTATTAATTAAGATGTGAGACCTTGGTCAAGTCATCACTACGTATTTGTTGCTTCACCCTCTCCTCTGTGATTCTACAATTTTAAATGTTTTAATTAAGAGGCCTTTAACAACAGGCTTTGTATTAATTAACTAAGGTGAATGAGAGAGTACAAATTAGCAAAGGAGGCTGTACACCAGTGTAGACATAGTGTCTATCCTCAGAAAGACTGTTTCTAATCCGGCCAACAGTTCCACAAATTCCCTCTGTTATCAAGAACCCAACTGGGCAAGAGGACAGAAAAGAGACTCAGTACCTTCTACCTCTAATTCTTGCAGGAAAATATTTGTAAGAATCAGTAACAACTGGTTAAATCCGTCAAGCACATATATGGCTAACAGAAAATGTGTCGTAAACAGATGAATATGAAAAAGTTCTTCCTATTATGTTTTTTCAGGTCAAGGAATTATCTTGAATCCTTTAAAAACAAAAAAGAAAACAATGCAAAAGTGACTCTTATCACTTGACGAGTCTCCCAAAAGAATTTTTTTTTTTTTTTTTTGCATTCCTCTTATCTAATGACCAGCTATTTGGGATGTTTTCCCATGATTACAACTCTACTCAGTTCTTCACCAGCAAAACAGAAATCTTCAAACATTTAAGCACAAGGGTTTTCATTCTGCCCACATTACATAGGCCCATTTGAGACATAAACCCAAGTGTTCCACTGTATCATATCCAAGACCCAAACACATCCCAAACTCCTTTAGTGTGGCAGTCACTCTCGAGTTTTCTCTTTAAAAATGAGATTTAAGTGACCTATTTTCATGTGTTTTCACAGCACCCAGGAGCTTTGCTGCTAGTTTGTATGGGTCATTTCCTTCATTTGTTTTCAATATGCCATGTCCTTTAAAAAGTCTAATATAGGTCATTTACTGAAATGTTCTACATGCTCAAATTCGATGACAATATACAACTTTCAATAGCCAAGTTCCAGGTGCACATCCCGTTTACAAAACAAGGAAGGCAGACACACACACACACACACACACACACACACAAACACACGGCGGGAGGGGGTGAACACACCCTAGCACCTGAAATGTCAATCAATGAACAAAGCCTTTTCTATCTCCTTTGACTTTCTTCTTCCCTAAGTTCTTGTCAAGTATTTCGGTACTGTTAAAAAACAAACAAACAACAAAAACAAAACAAAAACCCCAAAATGTTGAAAACTTGAGAAGTGCTTAAACAGCACCCGGAGAAAAGACAAAATATAGCTGTCAGAATGCGTGTGCTAACTCACAGTCCGGAATCTCTTACCTAAGTAGAGGACGATTCCATTTCCATATCCTCAAAAACAACGTAACCATGCCTTTCTCTCTTAAAAGAAAAAAAAAAAAAAAAGAAGAAGAAAAAAATAATAATAAAAACAACACCGCTCAGGAAAATAAGACAGCCAGAACAATGAGGATCCCGTGCACTCCTAGATGGGGTGGAGGGCAAGGGAGAGAACTCCACACCCAGCAACCAGAACAAAGCGACAAACGAAACGGGGATCTTCGGATGCACCCGGGTAGGGAGGCCCCGACGCGTATTCCGACACCTCGGGGTGGTTTCAGGTTTTGGGAGCCATCAAAACAAGAAC